GTCCCATAGTGCTGCCTTGAGCATTCCTATTGGGAAATTAGTTTTATATGACTGTTTTCTTTGTTCCCACAGTGAAGGTGACATGGAAGTTGTCCCTCTGAACAAAGCTCCTCAGCAGCAGGTGAGAGTCTCACTCGTGGGGCTGGAAGGAAGTGTGCATCCTCTGTGTCAGACAGCAGCAGGACTTGAGGTAATACTACCAAATCTAACAGGAAGATTTGTGGAAACAAAACAAGCAGAGGAGGGAAAAAAGTGAAAATCAATAATTATGAACCAGAGCCTAAACCACAGTAGGAAAGAGAGGGTTAGTTGTGGACAAGTTGAGGTATGGAATTTCTTTTTTAGACATGTTGGTATGGGTGGGGCAGTGGATCATAAGACAGAAACCATAACTTTAATATGGTTCCTGTGTTGCTGACTCTGAATTCAAATCACAGAGCACTTAATCATTGTCACCTATAGAGGACTGTTGACTTCTAGGCTGTTAACAAAATGATATAATGTCCCAGAGAGGAAATAAAACATCCTTTGGAACTTGCCAGGCTGGGTTGAACAGCTGAGGCTGGCTCTCCTGAAGGCTCCCTGCAGCTGTGAGCTAGCTGACGCTGGATTCAGTGTGCTCAGCTTCTAAATCAGCCATGGAGGAAGGGATCTGGAGCACTGGCTCTGTCACTGTGTGCCTGGCAGGGGCTGCATGGCCCTGCCCACCTCTGGTGGCACAGAGGGCTGACAGCACGAGCAAAGCAGCCAAAACCAGCGTTGCTGCTGGCTGTCTGCAAACTAACACTGACTGGCTCTAAGAGTCTTTTCCTAAACACTGCACTGCCAATGTTTTCAACATGTTCATTTATTTGTTTTGGTCTACAAAGCATAAAAACCAGTATCATATTCCAGAAAGAAATGCTTCTGTGCTGTTTTCAGCTGGAATAGAGTGAATTTCTTCTCTGTAGCTGATACAGCACTGTGTTTTGGACAATTTGTGTTTTAGACTTTATCAACCTGTTATATTTTCTTGCTGTGGGAGTTGGAATGAGAACCAAACATAAAACTTTTCTTGACACATTTTAACCACAGCTGCAGTTCATCATCAGGCAATGGTAAATAAACAGTATGGGGCAGCAGGGGTGGGTGTGTAGTGTGGTGATTTTCATCCATTTTTCAGTTTCTCAGCATTCAGACACACTCAGCATTTTGGAAAGATGCTCAGTATTGTTATTGGGTTTTTCTCCAGTGTTTTAATAACAGCACCTTATCTTCAAGTATCCTTTGTCCCATCATTGTGCTGATAGTTTCAAACCATGTGAAGACCCCTCTGCTAATATTAGTGGCAGGTTTCAGCTCTGTGGAACTGCTCTGCATGCTGGAAGAAATGAGGGCGGAAAAGGGCAAAATTGACCTTCCCAGCTGGGACGTTTTGCTGGGATGGGCTCAAATTTCTTCTTGGCACTTGAAATCAGGGCTCAGTAGCAAAGAAAAGGAGCAGAAAGTTGTGTGCACACATGAGGGATGTGAGGGTGGGCCATAATCTGAGGACTCCTGGAGTTAAACATTATATTCTAGTTTGATATGTTCTATATTCTATTAGAGCTTGGTCAGGTTTTGCTTTTAGATGTATCTGTTTTGCTACATATTTTTGCCTTTGCCTCAGGGAGCAATGGATGACAGAATCATTGCTACTTGAGGGAATGAATGTTTTGTCTTAATTTTGTCATTTAACATAATAACATGCAGCTAGAGACAGTAGATGTGATACAGCTTTCTGGGAATGAATAAATAATTAGCAGAAATATGTGGGCTGTGCTTCTACAAAGCTTATTTGTATTTCAGCCCAGGATAGGAGCAAGTTCACAATTGTTCTTGCACCACAGCTGTTTGTCTCCTTGTCAACAAAATTCCCATGTCTTTTCTTGGCCCTTCCTCTATTGTGTGCCTACAACAGTTCCTCTGCTAGGGAAAAGAGAAAGCTTGGACTTGTGTTTGCATTAAAGATTTTGTTATACATTTGCACCAGCTTTTTTGTACAGAATTCTTTACTCCCTCTGCTCTTCCCTTTCCTTGGACTTGTTTATTTTGTAGGGCATTTTGTAATAATATGTAGAAGAATGCCACCGAAAATTAAACAGTGTGGAATTGCCTCAGTGTATATTGTTCATCTTGCAGCTCAGACCAGGTTATCTTCTGGCCAGGAGCAAGGCAATGACATGAGAACCTAGAGCTGACTGTACAGTGTTATTTTTTATTATAGACAGAATAATAGGCTCAACCTTCTGCCAAATGCCCTTTCTTTGCCACACCCTTCTTACCTTCTTCTGTTTGTATAAGATTAGTGAAGTATAGAGAATGTTTAATTAAGTTTAATTGCATGACAGCTTAAAAGTGGGAAGGTAATTACTCATTTAATTATTGTGCCGCTTCGTGCTTAAGGTGTGTGTATAATTGCTCTTTTTATAAGGACAGTCAACTTTGCAAGCTTGCATGAAATTATAGCAGCCCCACACCTTTTTTAAATGAAACCAAGCAAGGGGAGAGGTGCATTCTGTTACCCCAGGCATTCTCCCTTCTCCTCACAAGTTTGAACAGCGTTGCTCCCTCCATGACACTTTTGCACTGGGAAGAACTGTAACATTAATCACATAACCCATTCTCTTTTGCCTATTTTTCATTAACAGTTATGGAACAAGCTGAGAACTTGGGATTGCAGACATGCCAGTGTAAATTATTATTTCCTGCACTGTCTTCCTTAATTATTTCTACAGTGGCAACCCAATATATCATGGAATTTGACTGTGTTATGCAGTCAAAGGTTAAGTGACTCCTAGTTATGAGTGCTAATAGGGAGAGACTTTTCCAGCGTGCATAAAGATTCTCAGAGCTGTCTAAGCAACTGCCCTGCTTTGCAACAGCTCAATTCTCTTCTGGCCTGACTAGTACTAGCAGTGAAGCTGAGACACTGAGGTTTGGGCAATCCAATAATGCCTGGAGCATCTATCCACCATGTCCAAAGAAATAATTCCCTGCAGAAGTCACCAGAGTGGAGAGCAGTGGAGCAGGGAAGGAGAAAGCCAGCTATTCAAACACAATCACTTTTGTAATTGCAAGGGGACTCAGTCTGAGGTAGCTGCAGGCTCTAAAAGATTATTTTTTGTTTAAATAGCAAACAGTTAGATTACATGAAATCCCAGTGCAAAAAGTCCCTCTGTAGCCATTAGGCAAGCCACAGAATTCCCCAAACTCTCTCAAGGTTACTGTCAAATAAATTTCTGTGTTGATGAGTAGTTTTTCCTTTCCCAAGTGAGAGGCTGTGTGTGGCAGAGGGTCTTTATGGTGAGTCAGTGCTTTTCAGTGGAGGTGATGCGACACAGCTGTCACAAGGCCAGCACTGTGTGAAAGCTCCTGCTGGAGAACCAAAGGGCTGGAGCTGCAGACACCCAAAGGGCTGGGAATGTCTGGACTAGGGCCCTCTCCAGCCTGCAGCTACCTGGTCACTGTCCCTGTGTCCCCAGGCACTTCTCCTTCTCTTGAGGGTGGGGTGACCTATGGCAGCTCAGGCTTGTCCCCTTGGCGCAGTGCAGAGCCCCTGAGGGACCCCTCCTGAGCAAAGGAGATTACTCCTGGTTGTTGGCAGCAGCTTTCAGCCCTTCCAGTCTCTCAGTCTGAATCCCTCACACATCTGCCATCCTTTGATACCCAGAGCTTCTCCACTGCTCCAGCATTCCTCCTGCAGCTCAGGTTTGTGTCTGAGGCAGAACCTGAAGGAGGTGATTTGGCCTTTCAGTAGCTCTTTGGGAGCTGCTGGCATCCAGACCATACACTTCTCACTGGGAATCCTATGGCTGTTATGGAAACTTTTGTCAGCAAGGTAAAGTTTAGTGATGAGGCAGTAAGTACATTTATGGCATAAGCACTAGGGTAAGAACATTTTAGTGAAAATAACATGACATCCTGTCTTGCCTCATCTTTTTACTGCTGTCAGAGAGGAAAAATACATGATGTTTCCTTGCAAAAAACAAGACAGCACCAAACTTGATATGTGGATATTTCAGCTTTTGTCAGATATTCAACAGACCTGTAGTTACATATTGCCCAGTGATAAGTACTACTAGTCTGTCTGCTGGGAGAATGCAGAGGCAGGATTTGGAGGGTGGTGCCCTGAGAAAGCAAGTTTCTTTGCATGGTCTGGAAAAGAGAGTGGGATTAAAAGTGGCATTAAAAGTGGGATAGGGGAAGAGGAGGCATCCAGAATCAGTAGGACTCCTGATGTGTTCATAGAGACAAGGAAATTACTGCTTTGCACAGGGCTGTGCCAGCCTCTGGCGAGGCCCAGAGCTGCTGGGAGAAGCATTCTTGGTAAACACAGCTCCATTTAAGCACTGACTGCTAGCACCACAGGGTACAGCCAGTTCTCTGCTGCCTGCAAGCCAGCATCTCCCAGCTCCTGATGGATTTGGAGAGCTGTTTTGGGAAATGTCCTCTGTAAGGCAATAGGCTTCTGAGCCAGCAGAGCCAGAGCAGAAATGTAATGCCTGCAGAGTATAATGTTTACAGCTTAATAACGCTGTTAAATCCATGTTAAAGTTGTTTTATTTTTTCCTACCTGAAACTGTGAGCAGGAATAGGGAGACTCTGCAGTGGAAAAACGAATTTTTAAATTTTATTTTTAATTATCTGGAATAAAAGCGTAGCCATGGGGTGTGCAGAGGTGTGGGAGCAAGAGGAGTTGTGCTTAGTGAATGGTGAGGTGATGAGGTAACTTTGGGCAGAATTGACCAAAATGAGTGACATGCGAAAGTCATTAATGCCATTAATGTCAAATTAACCTCATATGAAGACTGTTTGGGTAATCAGCTGCTTCATTTGATGAGCATCAGGTGATCTTGATTTTCTCCCACCTGCCACCTGAACCTCATCTGCTGATTTGGAACACCAAGTAATCAGGTGCTAATTTCATCAGCTGTGTGGCTTGGGCATTTATAAGCTGGAAAGTGCTGTTGGCCATTCAAGGGCTGTGGTTCTCCAGATTTGGATGTTTGGTTTGTATTTTAGAGCTCTCTTCTGTCTTTAAAAGGATAATTTCTCTAAGGTGCAGCCATTTATCTAAAAAGTACCTAAGGGAAACATCTATTGCCTGGTGTAGTGGATACAGCATGATTGCATGGACAATTACAGGTAAGGAACAGGAGCTGGAAATGTGCTGGAATGCTTTGCCTGAATCCTCAATTTGACTTGTTTGAATAAATGGAGTTTATTTCTTCTAGAGGAAAAAATAATTAAAATCTTCCTTAATGGGTGTTTTGCAGATAATAATAGTGTCACAGAGTCAAGAAAGTTAATATAATTTTTAGATAAACTGTGCTAATCCTACAGACTTTCTCCTCCTTTTTTTTTTCCAATTTGGTACAAAGAAGAAATCCTTACCTCAACTGAAGTAGCAAAATGGCAACTAAGATATTTTTTTTTCCCCTTCAGGAAAGGAAAACTTTCTCTTCTGCTTCATGTTGAAAGTACAAAAAGAACTTGATAAATTCAGTGCCTCAATGCCAGTAATTTGCTTTCTTGGAAATGTCACACAGACCTACTATAAAATCTTGAGTTGAAAGACCTACAGAAAGAAGTCTTTATGGATTTTTTTTATCATTATTATACATGGTTCCTTCAAAAAAAACATAGAAATAACATGTTGGAAAAGGAAAGGTCAAGCAAAAGCGGTTCCATGTAATTTTCCTCTTGGAAGGCATGAAGCATAACTGGAATTTCTAGCACTCCTCTGGAGGTGGGTCCAGTTATCTAGGGGTCTGAAAGAGTGCAAGAGATGGGATGTGTGATGACAGAATTACTTTCTGGGAGCAAATGTATTAATCTTGCACTATGATTTCTGAGAAGTGGATTTACTTTATAATTTCAGTTCTTATTTGACTTTTTATTCTGAAAGATTTCAGGAACTCCTGAAATTTTCTGCTGAAAAACTCTTGCATATAAGTGAACCACACAAACATAAGAAGCTGGAAGCAAATCAATTTACAGTACAACTTATTGGATGCAGTAACTTGGCAGAATTAGGTGTTAGGTTTCTCAGATGCTGCTGGCCTGAAGGGTAAACATTGCTCCAGTGTGGTCGTTGGTGCTTGCCAATGATGAAGTGTAGGTTTGTTGGTCGAGGCGGTGCAAATGTTGCATTTTTCTAGGAACAAAGCAGCTCTAGATGTCCTGAAGTGCAGCTCTTGTGCTTCTAGGCACTGAAGTGTTGTTTTAATCTCAACAGCTCCTTAGGTGAGCTTGCTTTGTCTTTAATGGCAGCCCTGCACTTCTTTTGGGTCAGTTCTGGTTCTTGTTCCAGTGCCCATCCCCAGGAATGTGCCCTGGGCTTTAATTTGTCAGGGGAAAGCTGATATTCCCCTCCCAGGACGGAAAAGCTTCATATGGGGTCAAAGGGTAGATATAGGTCTAATTGTGCTAGGAACTCACGTTTTAAAAAAGGAACTCACTGCGGCAGTTACATTTAAATATGGACAACACTAGACAAACTAGACTAGTGAAGAGCTTTTTGCTTTTATTTCTAGCACATCAGTCTCAAGACATACAATGGAGACATGATGTTAACAGCTCGCTGATCTACAGAGAATGCTCCCAGAAGGTGGGGTGATACAGAATGACATGAAACTATCTCAGTCTAGATTTCTACATAGAACAACACATATTGACAAGTATTGTATCTGATTTTATAAAACACACGTAATGGTATTTAAAACAAAGACTGGTTCGTAAGAGACAAAAAACAGAGCTCTATTCATGGTAACTTTCTAAAGATATACATTAAATAACTTTGTTGCTATCTTAAAGCTAATTTTACAGAGGTCTACTGTTGTTTGTCACGTATGCTCTACTGCTTGGGAAACTTTTCTGCAGTATCTGCAATGCTAACAAAACTTCAGTCTAAGGTTTGTACTTTTTTTAACCATTTCCTATAAACCCTCTAACTTTAGGGATTCCAACACTTGAGAGCAGAGAGAGGGCTTGGAAGGGAAGATCTCCAGGCTGGGAATAGCCAAGAGAAGCTGGCAGGAGCAGGAGGTGATTTGTTGGGCGAAAGATGAGGCAAGGAGAGGCTTTCAAAGGGCAAGTACTTACAAAGATTAAATGTTACAGAGCTTGATCTGCAGCTGGTAAACAAGAAAATGCCAGGGTGATATTTCTGATGTGAATGTCTCTGCAGATTAACAGGAATTAAAGCTGGTCTTAGTCTGCTTGGGGCTTTCTTTTCCCTCAGTGTCCACGTGCTTAGCCATTAATGCTAAGAATCAAGTCTATTAGTACCATTTTAAAATGTCTATATAGGTTTTTTCCCATATGAAAACTCTAGTAAATTATGGATCAGGTCTGTACTGTGTAAACCTAACTGCTCCAGTGGCACTTCCTCTGTTTTATCATACTTCTTTTTAACTGCATCTCTCATTTATAATCCCATATATTTATGACATATCATGCCTAAACTTCCCCATATAAACCACTCAAAAAAATCAATAATATTAGCTAGACTGGTAAAACAGTTACCAGTTTCAGACAACTGGTGTCTTGACCAAATTCTCCTTTGCTCTAAACATGCTTAGGAACAGATTAATTTTTTTTTTCTGTTTGGTTGGTTGCCTTTTTTTCTTCCTTTTCCCTTCTTTTGCCTCTTTTTTTCTTTTTTCCCCAGAATATTTGCATTGAGAAAGAAACACAGTGTTCTCTGGAAGATGCTCTTTTTATGCAGGATGGCTTGTTTTTGGGAATACAGAATCCATAGAGCTGCATGTTTGTTAAATGTGTGCAGAATTGTGCCCTGAACTTTCTCACTGAGCAGTGTGGAGATGAGTCAGTCTTCTTGACCTAGGCTCTGATGTGAGTCCAGCTGGGTGTTTTTCTACATTTACCTCTTGTAAAGCAGGAGAAAATAAGATTCTGCCATCCTGGGCACAGCTCTCTGTTCATACACAACAAGCAGTCACAAGGCAATTGCATCAAAGGTTAATTTCAGGGGCCAGGATTGCAGCTTTAACCCCTGTATTAGCATAGTATTGCATATGTATATATTCTAGCACCATCTAGCAGTTTTCCAGGGTAATGTTTGAAGAAATAAAACATAAAATAATAAAACAGTGCTTAATCAAAGTTCATATGTAGCCTGGAAAGAAAACCCCGCTGAGTTATCTTTCCTGCTCAAGCTTATGTACAGATGCAATCTTACTGCTAGGCTGGGACTGTTGGATCCCATTTGTTTCCCCTTCATTCAGGTGGCATTTGGAATCAAGCAGCCACAATCTGCCTAAGCAGTTCTGCTGATAAGCAAGGTCAGACCACAACAGACTTTGTACTTCTCAGAGTTTCTGCTTGGTCACTTTGCTGTCTTCCACCTGAGGGCTGTGAGCACATCAAATGGAAGGTAAAGTGCTGTATTGAGCCACAGCAGGGGGAGGCTGGGGTTCCAGTGGCTGAGTCCTTCCAGGAGGTGCAGTGGAGCCCTCCTGAAGCCCCGTGTCTGTAATAAAGCTGTTGTGAGAGATGCAGATTGATGGCACACCTGGCCTAATGCACAGCTTTTTCCCCTTCCCTCAGGTGGTAATCCTGTCCTACATGAGCAGTGGGGCTCGCTTCCAAGAGCTAAACTGGCAGGGTTTAACCTCACAGAAACAGTTTTGGCCTGTGAAGAATGTCAGTGTGCTCAGCAGCCATGCTCTGTGGATCAGAACCATCAGACAATCATAACCTGGTGGGGAGCAAAGTCAGTGGATTATTCACTTTAGGCAGTTTTGAATCAAAAAATAAGAAATGCACAAATCATTGCATGTGATGTGAAATGAGACCCATGGCAGATTAAAACCTGTGATTGTTTTTTTATTTTTTTTTACTGAGCATATAATACCTCTGGGATCCACCCTGTTCTCACTGTGTGTACTCTGGGATCCACCCTGTTCTCACTGTGTGTAATAAAGTCAAGTAAAGGGCAGAGAGATTACTCAACAGTTGCTGGTATAAAAGGTTAGGATGTAAATGCTATAAATACTAGGTTGCAAGATAAGGCTGTGTAAAGCATGAAGTATGGCTGGCTTTTATTTTTTGGAGGCAAGAAATAAACCCAATCAAAGAATCAGGAAAAAAACCCACAGCTGAAAGTATCAGACATAAAAAAAAAGCCCAAAACATCATTTTAAAATAACTAATGATATTAAATTCCTACTGTCTTGAAACAAACAACCCACAGCCAAACAAACAAAAAGAGCAAATCACCAAAACAATAAAACAAAGCTCATCCAGGCAAGTTTTGGGATTTTTGTAAATCACAGCTTCCTATAATTATTTCTAACAGGCAATTAAAAGCCTCAGCAGTTGTCCTTCTGATGAGCCTTTAAATCACTAAGCCCTTATCAGTGCAGAGTAGAATAACTGTTCCTCCAGCAGGTTTTTCCTGCCATTTTGTTTGCATGCAGCAAGGCACAGCACAGTGTCACTCCCCTGAGTCAGTGCAGCTCTTTTATATTTGTGTTTCTCTGTGGGGTGGGGCAGGTTTACTCTGCTCCTCATGGTCTTGTCTGCAGTGTTGCCCTCATCCTTATGGGGTTATCCAAGAAAGAAAGCTCATTACAGATGCTGTGCTCTGATCTGGGCTGTCTGTTGGCCATTGTGTCTTATGTTAACAAGATTTTTGGTTTAGAAGGAAGCTCTTGGGGTGTTTTCCTGCATTCCCCCAATCAGTGTCTGGGTGAGGGTGCAAGCTCAGTTAAAACATGGCAATGTGTGTTTTGACAAAGGGTGAGGGTTATGTAGAGAGCATTAAGTTTTACTTACCTAGAAGTGGGAGCAGCAGACAGAGGAACTTTGTTCAGCTTTGTCCTTTGGCCAGTGTAGGAGCATCTGAGTGATGTCTCTGAACTTTTTCTCAGGCTGAATTGTGGTTATGTGTTGAGGTATGGATCTTAGGGCTTTAGAACCTTGAGCTTATCCCAAAATACTGGTTGTGATCCCATTCATCGCTCCAGAAGGGAGAAAACTTCTCACACCTGACCTTCTTGTAACCCTGTATTCCCAACAGGTATCCAAGAACTGCCTTTCCTAGTGCATTGTCCCTCCCAAAGCAGTATCTTCTCAGCAGTGGGAAGTGAAAGTCAAAACCTTCTGCTTCAAAAGCATGA